CTCTCTCTCTCTTTCTCACTCTCTCTCTCTCTCTCTCTTTCTCTCTCTTTCTCTCTCCGACCCTCCCTCCCTCCCTCTCTCCCGCTCTCTCTCTTGATATACCTCGCCCTCCTTCTCACCCCCACCCGCGTTGCAACGCGCACCTCGGAAGTCAATCGTGCCGCGCGTCGGCCCCCCAGACCGCCACCCCAGAATCCCCCGCATTCAAACATTTACAGGGCTTGCAGAAGGAGGCAGCGGAACAAGTCTACAGGGCCCGCGCCCAGGGGCAGTTTACGGGGCCCAGACATCGAGGCATCCTTGGCCCGACCCCCCGGCCCCCGTCCGAGCGAACGCACAGACGATGCACCCTGTCGAGGCGACGGGCGAGGCGTCGGTGAACTAGGCGAGGGTCTTCGGATCAAGCAGTCGGGGGATCGGACCACACGAGGGGTCACCGAGAAAGCTTACGTAAAAAAACGCTTGTGTGTGTGTGTGTGTTACCCGCTCCTCGGTCCTCGTCCGCGGCGTACCTTCTCCTGTGCAAGCTCTTCGGCACCGCCGCCTGAGGCCCCGCCTTCTTGTGCCCTGTCTCCTTCATTAAAGCTGCGCGTAGCCCGCCTAGCTTTTAGCGGAAGAGGCTCGCTCTCGCCCTGCCGACGACCAAAAAGTGCGTTACCCGTTCCTGAAAAGATGTCGCATGGCTTCGTTGGTTAGCGTACTAGGCGGGGCTCTCTTCCAACTGATTGGGCACCATCGCGGCTGGCACAGGAAGGCTAAGTGTATAGTCCAAGTTGGGTTATCAATACTTCCTCTGAGCCAGATCCATTCGGTCACCAGGTCCTGTCCACCATCGCCCCTCATTGTTGTCTTGAGCGTCCCAGGTCCCCAATGTTGTTACGCATGTCGTATCTACTGTGGACTTGGACATGGATGCACACACCCAAACATGCGAGTTTGTACTTGTATAAGGGCTGCTTGTGACTGCTGGAGTAGCCGCAGATGTTTTTGTGGATGTGGAGATGGGCTCGGGCAATCAGCTGGAGGTGTGGCTATTGCTGTGAACGGTGGCACACACGCGGATGCGGATGTAGACTCGTGCGGATTTATGGGCCTGTGCGAGTGAAAGTGTGCGCGGAAGTTGAATATCTTCAACACCATCATCACCATCATCAACATCACCATCATCAGCATCAGTATCTTCAGTAGCATCATCGTCATACATACCAGCTTCATGTTCATCGTTGCGTCTTTGTGCTATACCCTCACAGCCCCCGCCCCCTGTCGGTGGCCATGCTGTCGTTCATGCAGTTTATCCTGACCTGCTTGGGAGGCCACCTCGGACTTTTTTGTGCACTCCCCTTCTTACCCTCTTTCGTACACCGCCTCCTTCCAATGTTCCTTCGAACGCCATGCTGATCGCCCTCCCTCCAGCCTTGGAGTTTCCATGTGCAGTCAGAGTGGTGGAGCCGTGGCCTGATTTATACCACCAAGCCACACCGAGAGATGCCAGACACCCGCTCTCATTTGTGCACTTCGTCGCACGCCCAGTTTGGTGTGGGCTGGCAGCGGGGACTCCCCGCAGATGAGATCAGCCTTTCTTGCCGTAGGCGGATCATCATGCCATAATGTTCTGGATGGTCGTGGCAGTTTTGGCAGGGATATCGTTCCGGCTTTCGGGCCACGTGCCGAATTGCATAGTGTCGGATAACAGAAGGATTGCAAAAAAACGAAGGATTGCAAAAAAACGAAGGATTGCAAAAAAACGAAGGATTGCAAAAAAACGAAGGATTGCAAAAAAACCCAGGATTGCAAAAAAACAAAAAAACCCAGCGCGACACCATCTGGGGAAAAGCTTTGTGTTGCGTGGGCGCACTGCTTGGCATGCTGCTTGGCAGATTGCTGGGCATTTTGCTCGGCATTTCACGGCACTGCTCGGCAGTTCACTGCATTGCCTGGCATTGCTTGGCCTTGCTTTGCATTGTGCGGCATTGTTGGGCATGTCTTGGCACTGCGCGACGAGGCAGCAAGGAACCATGTCCACGGCGCCTAGTAACTACGAATCAAGACCAAGGTATCAAGCAACCACGACCAAGGAGCCGAGGAACCAAGACCACGGAGCCAAGGAACCAAGGCCAAGGGTTTCGAGACCAGGGAACCCGAAGACGGCCTCTGTGAGGAAACAAAACAAAGGAGCCCGATGCAGGCCACTGTGATTACCAGCCTCGAACGTATCCCTATCCCTAAGATTGACACGCCAAAAGGCGATGACAATCTTAGGGATTCGCCCTCAAACAATAAGGGAACCCGTAATATTGACATCGTTCTGAGGAGGTGCCCAGCATAGGGATAGGGATATGTTCCCGGCTAGTAATGTGAGGGCACCGGAAGAAACCAGATCGATGGACCCGAGGAAGGCCACCGTAAGAGTTCGAAGCCTAGGACCCCCCAGGACGGTCGTTGCAGCAAGTAAGCAAGGCACGGGCACCCTGAGGAAGGCGGACCGGCCAGACCCCTCCACGCACGTTCCTCTTCATAACCAAGCAAGAACCCCACTAGGCGAAGCCTACGTGCGGAAAAACAGCATGGATGAACTTGGCGCGACCCCACTGGGGGAACGCTCTGTAAGCGACATTGCTTGGCATTGCTGTGCATTGCATTGCCTTCCGTGACATTGACTTGCTTTGCGTTGCTGTCCGTAGTTTGGCATTTGCAGGGCATTCGGGAAACCCGAGGAAGTCTTTTCTCAACACCGCGACGAGACGAGACCAAGGAACCCAGGGAGCCCGTGGAACGGCAACAAACCAAGGAACCTGGGAACCCGAGTGCGGCCTCCTTGAAGACAGTCAGGAGATCAGACTGAGGAACCCACGGAACCCAAGCAAGGCCTCGTCCAACATAGCTGGGAAACAAGACCAAGGAACCCGGGGAATTCGAGGAACGCCTCTTCAAAACAGTGAGGGGACGAGCCCAAGGAACCCAGGAAGCTGACCGCAGGGGACCGGGAAAACATGACCAAGGCACCTCAGGGGAAGCCCACGGCACCGCGTCCGGCACCCACACGAGCCTTCAGAAAGAAGTCAGCAGACCCTAAGGCAAAGCCGCATTGGGGAACCGAAGCCTTCGGAGGTCCGCTCGAATCTCTCGGGCCAGCGCCAGACCTCCCAAGCGGCGCCTCCCGCCCCGCCCCTGGAGCGCTGCGCTCGCGCGCGCTGCGCGCTCCTCCACCGCAGACCCAAGAGTTAAGTCGGGCATGTCCCTCTACAGGCGGAGTGTCCAAGAATAGTCCAAGAGTAGTCCGGGGACGATTCTTCTACTATGTTTTTTGTGTGCTCGTAAGTTTTCGTTCCAGATCCGCCCGACCTGACCCAAGAGACCCGCGCGCACCTCCGAACGTTCATGTCTGTGCCGCTCTGTGCATTCAGAGCGCGAATTACCTACCCCGCTTTCGCTTCCAGGCAAGACCAAGTCATACCACGCGCCTCCTCGCCAAGCGGCCTGACCAGTACAGGCCGCAGTTTGGCATCGTCTGGTATCTCTTGGAAGCGAGGGTGGTCAAAAGCGAGGTAGGTTTGTTTCCCCCCTGTGTATACCCTGCAATCTGGGGTGCAGGATGGGCCCTCGTCGCGGGGGCACCCTGCACTCTGGTCCGGGTGCGTGCGCCCTCGGCTCCTGCGCCGTTCCACGGGAGCCCCCAAACCAGGTGGTGAGATACCAGGTGGTGACTTGGAATCCCCAAAAAGTCACCCCCGGGTTTTGGGACGCGGGCTCACCGCCGGGTCTTGTGACTCCTGGGCCCACCAGCGTTCGGGACATCCTCGAACAAGCGCATGAGTCCCCAAACCGGGTGGTGACACCAAATCGCCCGAGACTCACCGCCAGGTGTTGTCACCACCACGTTTGGGGATTACCAAGTTCCACGAGTCGTGCATCCTTGAGCCGCATCAGTTATGACGAACGGACAACACGCACCCATACCCATAGGGGGGTCGTTGGGAGGAGGACTGGCCATGGGTATGGGTGCGGGTTGTCGGACCTTTGGGAACGCTCCCGCTCGAGCGGGGACCCCCATCCGACAACACGCACCCGTAGCCTTCTCCGATCCCCCTATGGGTATGGGTGTGTGTTGTTGGTTCGTCAAGTTAGGCATTCGATCATGGACCCCTGGTTGAACGCAACCGTCCAGCTTTCGCACCGGAGACCGCTTGAAACCGCCAAAGGTCGCCGAAGGCCATCAGGAAACCATGAAAGACCGCCGAAGACCGTCCGAAGACCGCAGAATACCACCGAAGACTGTCCAGGAACGACGGGTAACATGCCGCGCGAGAGGTGGTTCGGGCAGTTTCGCCTGAGACATCGTCGCGCTTTTGCAATCCGACATCCCGCGCGAGAGGTGGTCCCGCCCGTTTCGTCTGAGACGTCCTCGAAACTCTGTGCTCTGAGATGCCGCGCGCGAGGTGGTTTGGCCCGTTTCGCCTGAGACATCCTCGAAACTCTGAGCTCTGAGCTGTCGCGCAAGACGTGGTCCAGCCCATTTCGCCTGAGACATCCTCGCAACTCTGAACTTGGCGATGCCGCGCGCGATGTGGTCCAGCCCGTTTCGCTTGACTCCCTCGCAATCCTGAGCTGAGATGCCCTGCGCGAGGTGGTCCGGCCCTTCTCGCCTGAGACATCCTCGCAACTCTGAGCTCTGGGATGCCGTGCACGAGGTGGTCTGGCACGTTTCGCATAAGACATTCTCGCAACTCTGAGCTCCCAGATGCCGCGCAAGAGGTGGTCCAGCCTGGGGACCCAGAAGACCACATGTTACAGATCCCCCCTGGGACCCTGGGAGCCCCAGGGGGCCCCAGAGAGCTTCAGGAGGCCACAGGACGCCCAGGACAGGCCCCAGGGGTCCCAAGGAAATTCCTGGAGGCCCCAGGAGGCACCCTATCAGAAGGTGCCAAGTTAATACACATCTGGTGTCGATTCGTTGATTTTTCCTGCTCTTGTGGCCCCCCCTCCATTTTGGGGGGCCCCGACGGCCACATGTTACACATACCCCCTGGGAGCCCCAAGAGGCTTCAGGAAGCCACAGGTGGGGTCCAGGAGGACACAGGCGGCCCAGGAGAAAGCTCCAGGGGGTCCCCAGGAGGCCCCAGGAGGCCCCCCGCAACTCGGAGCTCTGAGACGCCGCGCTCGAGGTGGTCCGGCCCGTTTCGCCTGAGACTTCCTCGCAGCACGTTTCGCCCGAGACATCGTCGTCCGCAACTCTGGGGTCCGAGATGCCGCGCGCGAGGTGGTCCAGCCCGTTACGCTGGAGACATCCTCGCAACTCTGGGCTCCGAGATGCCGTTCGGGATGAAGAGGAGGTGGAGGATGAGGAGGAAGAGGAGGAGGAGGAGGAGGAGGAGGCATGTTCTAACATGCCATGCCAGCCCGCACTGGACGGGCACGCAATCGACCTTGGAAACCACAGTGGGTTTAAAAACCCTGTTTTGGGATTATGATACTGTACTCCAGCTATAATTCTATTATGCTTGATCTTTTCTGTTATGATTGAACTATTATGGGTTTTTCGTCGAGCATCCGCCTGTAGGGGGACATGCCCGACCTAAGCCTTGATCCACAGGGCCTCCAGAAGCTCAAAGCCCTCGGGGGGACATCGAGGGGGGAGGAGGCGACGGAAAGGGGGTGGGTAGGAGCGAGGGGAGACAGAGCTCAGGAGGAGGAGGAGCAGGAGGAGGAGGAGGAGGGAGAAGGATGGAGGAGGAGGAGAAAGGACGAGGTCAGGAGGAGGAGGAGGAGGAGGAGGAGGAGGAGGAGGAGGAGGAGGAGGATGAGAGGAGGAGGAGGGAGGAGGAGGAGGATAGGAGGAGGAGGAGGAGGAGGGGAGGAGGGGAGGAGGAGGAGGAGGAGGAGGAGGAGGAGGAGGAGGAGGAGGAGGAGGAGGAGGAGGAGGAGGAGGAGGAGGAGGAGGAGGAGGAGGAGGAGGAGGAGGAGGAGGAGGGGAGGAGGAGGAGGAGGAGAGGAGGAGGAGGAGGAGGAGGAGGAGGAGGAGGAGGAGGAGGAGGAGGAGGAGGAGGAGGAGGAGGTGGAGGAGGAGGAGGAGAGGAGGAGGAGGAGGAGGAGGAGGAGGAGGAGGGAAGGAGGAGGAGGAGGAGGAGGAGGAGGAGGAGGAGAGGAGGAGGAGGAGGAGGGGAGGAGGAGGAGGAGGGGAGGAGGAGGAGGAGAGGAGGAGGGAGGAGGAGGGAGGAGGAGGAGAGGAGGAGGAGGAGGAGAGGAGGAGGGAGGAGCAGGAGGGAGGAGGAGGAGGAGGAGGAGGAGGAGGAAGAGAAGGAGGAGGAGGAGGAGGAGGAGGAGGAGGAGGAGGAGGAGGAGGGACGACGAGGACCAGGAAGGAGGAAGAGGAGGAGGAGGAGGAGGAGGGAGGGGGAGGAGAAGGAGGAGGAGGAGGACCGACCCATCAGCTAGTGACTCCGCGGCCGGCCGCCCCTGGAGTCACCTAGCTTATACTAGTTCTGTCCCCCCCCAGGGCCGACCGGCCCTTAGGGGGGACGGCTACGTTCCAGGAGATGATTGCCGTCAGCGGGCCAATTTTCAGCAGGAAGAGGACCAGAAGCAGGAGGAGGATGACCAGTGCAAACCCAACGCTCCTCAACGATGTTGGAGTGATCCCTCCCTCCAAGCTCCCTCATAGGCCCCTACAAGGGTACATTTCCACTGATGGGAGTGCCGCGTTGGGAGACAACCCTTGGAAGATCCTGAAGCGTGCCCACAAACCATCCCCGTGATCCTAACGCCACGAATCAATGTGATTTTTTTGCGTTGTGACGATTATGAATCGCGCCAGAACGCCATTCCTGGGATTTTAACACAGCGAATCATCATAGCTGTTGTGTGCCCTGACAATCCAGACTCGTTCCAAAGGGCAGTTTCTGGTACGTTAACCATGGGCATCCCTAACATCCTGCAGAGTGTTGCACCGAATGCGCGTGGCGCTAAGGCGAGAGCCACCTTTCGAAAAGGACCCGCCTCAATCTGTGACGCGCTTGCATTTGTTTAAGGCGAGTGTGCAGCGCGCTCAATCGAGAGCCACATTGTGAGAGCGGCCCGCCCTCGATCTGTGAAACTCTTGCGTGTTTAGGACGAGTGCGCGCGGCGCTAGGGCGAGAGCCACATTTTGAAAAAGGCCCGCCCTCGGTCCGTGAAGTTATTACGGCTTGTTTTTGACGAGTGCGCGTGGCGCTAAGGCGAAAACCACATTTTGGAAAGGACGCGGCCTCAATCCGTACATCTCTTGCGAATTGTTTAAGACGAGTGTGCGCGGCGCTCAGGCGAGAGCCAACTTGTGAAAACCGCCCGCCCTTACGCTGTGAACCGTTTGCAAATTTCTGAGCCTCAGGATCATGCGTGGTAAGGAAAGTTCAGGCGAACCCCCCGATCCGCCCTTCCGACTGGCCTCGTGGTGCGACACGGAGGAGTAATTATATAGGGGCGTTCCACAAAAGGGTTTCCCTGTGACGATTGAAGGAGCTGCCATCTCTTTCGCGGCGGAAGGCGGCGGAAGGGCGGCGGAAGGTCGGCGGAAGTAAAACGAGGCCGCCTCAGCCGGCGGAAGCCGGCGGAGGGGCGGCGGAAGGCAGCGGGAGTGAAACATGCCTCCCTAAGAGATGAACACGTGTTTGGGTTCAGGGCTCCCAGAGTCCGCCACATGGGGAAGGAATGGAGGCGGAGGGGAGGGAAGACACGTCGTCGGGCCTCTTGGCTGCCTGCCGCTCCGGGAGGGCCGCTCAGGCGAAACGCCCGACCCGCCCTTCGACTGGCCTCGGGGTGCGACACGGAGGAGCTACTTATATGGGAACGACTGGAGGCGGAGGGGAGGGAAGACTTTCAGCGTCGGCGGCTAGGCAGAGGGCGACTGCGCTGGCGATGCATGGAGTGAACAGGGGTACCGTTGGGCCGACGGGTGCCCCCATGCAGGAGGAGGAGGGAGGAGGGACGCGGCCGAAGAAAAGTATGGACGGGGCGGGCGGCTCAAGCGGGGAGGGAAGACACACCGTCTGGCCTCCCGCGTGCCTGCCGCTCCGCGAGGGCCGCTGGAGCTGGCCCACGAGCTCGAGCGCGGGGGCGCCGCGGAGGTGCCGCATCCCGGGCCCCTGAAGCACGTGCTGCGGGCCTACAGCAAAGGCGACCAGGGGCTCCTGGGGGGTCCACCACCACCACTACCGTAGAAAGGAGAAGGAGGAGGAGGAGGAGGAGGAGGAGGAGGAGGCGAACGAGACGAGGAGGAGGAGGTGGAGGAGGAGGAGGAGGAGATGGACCTCCTCATCCTCCCTCCTTCCCCGTCCTACATATGGTAGTGGTGGTGGAAAATTTGCCCATCATCCACTTCTCACCTGAGATCTTGGCGTCGCAGTTTTGTTTACAACGGGCGTTTTCGCTCGCTCTCGGGCCCTGGGGTCCTCGCAGATCGATCAGGCTCGAAAAATGACGCAGAGAGATGGAGTCTGGAGCTCCAGTCGTGATTTTTCAGGACGTTGCACCTGTTTCGCAACGTCGGATCCCTCAAGCAGTGGCGAAGCGTCCTGGCTCGCCTATAGCCCTACCAAACACTGTTCTAAGAACCTTTTGTGGTTTCCACGAAATGTTCTTAGAACATTTCTGGCGGAGTCTGTGTTGTTTTATCACATCGGGCTTGTGTTCTAAGAACATGGTTTTTGTTCTTAGAACATTCTTGGGTTCTGAGAACATTTCGTGGTAGGACTATTGGAATGCTGGGACGGTCGGTCCCTGCTCAAATCCCGGGGCTTCTGGGCCACCTGGAGGTTTCGCGCCGCCACGGCTGGAGTCGTCTGACAGGCGGGTGAGGGCAGATCGGGGGCGGAAAAGAGGGGGGTGATTACCTAGGGGGGGGGGGATATCATGGCGGGGGCCATGATATATTTCCCCAGATTTCATGGCGCCTCTTCTTACCTCATCACGTCCCTGGCCCCCCCGCTGGGCCGCGCACGCTGGTCATGATTTGCACCCCCCCCTCTTGGACCCCCCCCTCTTGGCCGCCCCCGTGTAAACCCCGGAGGAGGAGGAGGAGGAGGAGGAGGAGGAGGAGGAGGAGGAGGAGGAGGAGGAGGAGGAGGACGGGGGCCGACGTGCAGTGTGGACCCGGGGGCGAGCGGGGGAGCCGCCGCGTCGAGCCGCTTCGATATCTCCGCCGCCGATGTGCAGCAGGAGGGAGCAAAAACACAGACCCAATTGATCGTCGATCCCCAGGAACTAGGGCTCCCTCGAGGGCGCGAAGTTATTCGCGCTTCGCGCTTCGCGGTCCTCGTTCCTTCTCCCCTCTCCTCCTCGTCCTCCTTTTCTCCCTTTGGGGGGGCGGCGCGAGGGCGCGAAGTTATTCGCGCTTCGCGCTTCGCGGAGCGCGAAGCGCGAAGTTGGGAGCCCTAGGAACAAAAACACAGACCCAATTGATCGTCGATCCCCAGGAACATGTGGGAAGATATGGGGGTTGGGCGGGAGAGCGAAAACCCGAGAAAAAATATGGGAACATATGGGGAACCGTGTTTTATTCGTGTGTCTTCATTTGTGTGTCCTTGGGCCCCTTGAGTGCAGTGGACTTGGGGCGCGCGGGGGGGCCGCCGTTGCCTCCAGGCGCCCTCCGACGCCTGCTCCCATCGAGCCGCTCCGACCTCGAGTGTGGTCGGCCGCATCCGATCCGCTCCGAGCTGGACGTTCCGCCGATCCGACGCGGCCCGATTCTCGCACGGCGCCGCTGCACATCCTGGGCCGGGCCGCCTCGGCCTCTGCTCCGTGGCAGCGCGGCTCCATCCGACGCGCCTCCGGACGCGGTCCGACTCCCCGATGGAGGCCTCGCTCGCCTCGCGGACCGGTGCCTCCTCGAGTGGCGTTCCCGGGGGTGCCCGGCGGTGCTCCGTCTCTAAGTTGGATCGGCACTGCGTGCAGAGTGTGTAACTATGGATCTTTCAGGAGGGAAAGGAACACACACAGGCACAATTCATCGTCGGTTCTCGAGAACATATGGGAGCATATGGGAAGTGGGGGGGAAGACAGCAGCCCAGAAAATCTGGGAAACTATGGGGCATCTTTTCACTTGTGTGTATTTCTTTGTGCGTCCTGGGGCCCCTTCCATATGGCCAGGGAAAGAGCGACGATCCCCCGAGGCAGTGCGCTGCGGCCTGCTGCTGCCGCCCTCCTGCTGCTGCTGCCGCCCCTCTCCTCTTCCTGTTTCCGTGCGTGGGCGCGGCCCGGCCCCGCCCGACGGCGGGCGGGGAGAGCCCATGAGCGAGGCGTCCGCGCTGCGGGGTGAAGAGCGAGCAACAAAGAAAAAGCCATCGCTCGGACGTGTGCATTTTTCATTCGGGGAGGACCATCGAGGAGCATCCTTGATCATTTGGCGAGAATCCACGCACGAAGCCGAAACAAAAACAGGGAATGGACGTCCGAGCGATGGCCAGTTGGCGGCCCCGCGCAGAGGGCGCCCCCCCTGTGGCACGGCGTCGACCGCGTCTGCAAAGTGCATGTCGGGCTCCATCTCGAGGGCGGGGCCCTTCCTCCCCGTTCGTTTCCCGCCTCTGCACCGTGGCGGTCCCGTAGGCGAGCCCCAGCATCGGATGCACAGCTTCTAGAGCACAACAGCCGGCAGGTTGTGCTGCACGGGTCGCGGGGCTGGTGCCGTGAAGACGTTCCCTTCGACGCGAAGGCCTCGCCCCGCCCGTCAGGGTGTGGGGCGCAGAGCCCGCAGGGGCGGCCGCCAGAGTCAAAGGGGATGCGAACTCCTTGTGGGACTATCGTTCTGTGTTTGCGCGGTGCGCATCTGGAGAAATATGTGCAATGGACATACGGTTAAGTCGGGCCTGTCCCCCTACAGGGGGGACTTTCGACGAAGAATAAAAGTACCCCAAACATAATAAACAAAAAATCCAAAAATAGTCTGGGGACTATTTGTTTTAGTATGTGTTGACCTTCTTGGGGTATTTTGGGGGTATGTTTTATTTTTCGTCGAAAATCCCCCTGTAGGGGGGCACGCCCGACATAAACATACGGTGGAGGCGTTGGTTAAAGAACGTGCACGGGACTCTTCAGACCCTGGAGGGTTCTTTCTCAGATCAGGGCGGCGGTGACATCCACGGTCAGCCCACGATTGGAGTTCCACTGGTTTGCGGACCCTGGATTCTTTACCGAATGACTTCGTAGCATCATCGCATCAGGATGCTTCCAGCAGCGTTCAGTCACGACGGAACAGGGAATCGTGCTACAGCGGGCAGTTCGTGTGCCATGGTGTGATCGCAGGCCTAGAGGTTGACACCAACACCATTTTCGGCGGTGTGCCTCCACCGAGGGAAGAGGATCCCGACATCGGTGATGGTGGTAATATTCTGGCTTCCAAAGTGGCCGAAATGTTACCACCAGCACCGAAATCGAGGATCGTCTCCCCCCTGCGGGGGGCAACCCCCTGTGTTGGTGCTGGTGCCAGTTTCTGGGCCTCCCATGTGAGGACTGATTTGGCTGCCCCTGTCGTCGACGTCCCTCTTGCGACTGGCAGGATGCTACACGCTGCTACCGTAGCCGCGTCAAGGAAACTTCAGGAAACTTCAGCAGCGTTCAGTCACGACGGAACAGGGAATCGTTTCACGGCGGGCAGTTCGTATGCCGGGGTGTGAGGACTGATCTGGCTGCCCCTGTGGTCGGCGTCCCTCCTGCGACTGGCAGGACGCTGCTACACGCCGCTGCCGCAGTCGCGTCAAGTACCAGACCAGCCTGCCGGCAGGTGCCCCCCAGTGCTCTTCTGCGAGAGTCCCCCGACGGCACCGGGCACCCGCCGAGGCCTCTGGGGCACCCCAGGAGGGAGGAGGAGGAGGAGGAGGAGGGGGAGGAGGAGGGGGAGGAGGAGGAGGAGGAGGAGGAGGAGGAGGAGGAGGAGGAGGAGGAGGAGGAGGGGGGAGGGGGAGGAGGAGGAGGGGGGAGGAGGAGGAGGAGGGGGGAGGAGGAGGCGAGATTTCAGATCGTGTGTATCTGCTGCGCTTGCAGGCGTATTGGAGCCCTCGTCCAAGCCACGGCGCCACCCGCCCGCCGTCTCCCGTGTAATTGCTTCGCTCGGATGTCCTGCGTCCTTCACGTCGCCACGTGCGGGCGCGCATTCCAGCCGACCAAGCCGAAACAAAAGTGGATATTCCCCTATGTTCTTTGCTGGCTTGTCTTGGACCCCGAAGAGGACCTGGCACAGGTTACCGTTTCTAGGCCCCCCTCTTTCATCCTCTCTCCTGATCCGTCCTTGCGTTCTCCCTCGCGCCTGCTATCCCCCTCATTCCAACTCCTCGCCGGCATCCTGTGCATTCTGATTCAATTTTCGTTCCGTTGGCTGTAGCAGCTGCTAGTCAACACCTTCGTACCACGATTCCCTGGCTGATCAAAGATCTTCCCCGAAGGCCCCGAGTTCGTCGCCCATGTCAGCGTTGGCATCCTCCAGTACGCCTGCAGCTCAATCAACCGCTTGCCTCGCGTTTGCGTTGCGATTCACTAGCCAAGTTGCGATGACCAGTTCCATGGTGATGCAAGTGCAAGTACATCGTCGCCAGATCTGGTGTGCTGTGCCCGTTCGGGGTGGGTGCAAACCATGCTTTCATTTCTAGCCTGGACAGGTCTCTTGATTACTGATTCGCTCATCTGGCTTGTCTCTGGGAAATCGCGGTCCTTTTCGCAGAAGGCCGACGCACGTAGGTTGTCAATTGATTGGCATGGGCTTCGTTGGGAATGATGCCCATTCTTTCTGTGACGGCCTCTGGCATCCAGCCTGATGCGTCCAGAATGAAGGATGTGTCGATGCGCGAGGAGCCCGCGTTGAGCGCCTGCGCGAGACGGCTGGTGTTGGGCGACATCGGGTGTTTTGTGTTTCGCCCAGAGGCCAGTATCTTTAGTTTCTGAGGCTTGGCTTGCAGTCTCGCTCGCTCGCACGCTCGCCAAGCAGTACTCGTTGTAACTGATCTGTCTGAGTTACCCGTTACTAATTGTTTGACGTGAAGGTCTGCATGTTTCAGAGCTTCATTACACGCTTGTTCGTATTTGCCCATGCTAGTCGTCGGGCTTTACACTCCGCGGACGGCCCCTTGTGATTAGATGCTTGGCTGGATGGGCTTTTGGGGCTGATTAGTTGACTGGGAGGTGGTTGCCAGGTCTGGCTGGTTGGCTTGCTTGCTGGCTGGATGGGCGGCTGCCTGGTTTGTTGGCGCGTTCGCTCAAGCGCAGGACCAGGGCCTTCCTGTGAGGGATCATGGATCCCAGAATCATCGTGTGACGGAAGTGCGAAGCCATTCCCGATTGGATCCGAGAAAGAGGAATACAGCAGGGAGAGGTTGCCAGAATGACGGGAATCGCGTCGCGATTCACCTTCTGACTGTTTGGTAGACGAGAGGTGGCGGTCCGGCTTCCGGACGAGGGCATTTTAGGCGTATGATGGGGCAAAACGACACAGGTGTTGTTTTGTTTGCGGGAATTGGGCGGCGTGGGTTAGGAGAGAGAAGCGTTCGTGCACGTCGGGCGCATGACGGGAAACGCGAGGCGATTCGCATTGATATTAAGAAGCAAGAGAGTTTAATGGGCCAAGGCGTTCGCAGTCCCTAACCATCACGGGTTCATGATAGCTTTTACGGTTGATATAGGCCTTTGGAGGGGCCCAAGACGGCTCAAGGGAGCCTCAAGATGGGCCAAAGCGAAGCTAAGATGGTTCTAGTCGGCGTCTCAAGATGCCCGCAAGCGGCTGTAGAGGCTCCGATGAGCTCCAGAAGAGACCCCATGGGCCAAATTTATGCTATCAGTTGAAGTGGGGCTGCAGTAGCGATCGGGATGCACGCTATGTGGTGGAAGCTAGTTGGTGCCAGCTATGTGGTGGGATGAGCGTGGTGCAAGTTATGTTATGCAAGGCATTTTGTGAAAGCTATTGCGAAGGCCTTACGGCCAGTGCCGCCGTCCCTGAATGGGGGGCGACGGCGACGACGACGACTGCGACGGCGATGACGCTCTGGGGCCGAAGCCTTCTTCCAGAGAGGGGTCCCGGTGAGGGGGGTCACAACTCCCGGGACCTAGGACCTCCCCCCCACCCCGCTCGGGCCCCCGCGCCGCACCCTGGCTTACAGCCGAAGTCCTCTCCCAGGGAGGGATGCTCCCTCCTGGGGGAGTCAACCTCCAAGCCACCCCCCCACTTCTTCACGCCCCCCCACCACACATCCCCAGGACAGTCCCTCCCCCCCGGCGGGGAAGGGATCGCAGGTGCTTCCCGTCGACTCGATTGCGGCGTTGCTCGATTACTCTCTGGCTGGAACGTTTGAGGAGGAAGTCCTAGGGAAAGGGGTGAAGGTAAGCAACGTGGTGTGAACTATTTGGTGTCAGCTGTGAGGTGTGCTAAGCGTGGTGCAGATCGTGGTGCAAGCTTTGTAAGGCAAGGTAGGTGGTGCAAGCTATTTCGTGTAAGCTATTTCGTGCAAGCTGTGTCGTGCGAACCCTGTACAGTGTAAGCTATGTGGCGCATGCTGTGCGGTGCGAGCTCTGTAGTGAAAGCTACGTGTATGATGTGTATGATGTGTGGACCTGGTTTAGCCTGGAGCACCCGAGAAAAATCGAGCACGCAGAAACTACCAAAATTGGAGCAGTTTCACGTGTCGGGCACTGGGAGGCTATGTTTGTTCGGCATTTCGCTGGCGCGTCAGCCAGACATTCGGTAGTTTTTAAGGTGCCCGAGGTTATTTCTGGGGGTTGGTCCGTAAGTACGATGGGAGCAACAGAATCGGCGGCGAGCGAGGGGGGAAATGAGAAGGAAACGGTCTTCTCAGAAGGCGGTCGGACTTCTCAGAAGCCCTGGCGCCTTTGAGAAGGCGTCTGCGTCTTCGGGAAAGGCTTAGAGAACACTTTTCAGAAGGCCGGGGGACTGCCGAGCTTCCTGAGAAGGCCCGCAAAAGCTATGTGGTGCAACGTGTGATGTATGATGGGCTTGTTTTCCACTACCACTACCATAGGTAAGGCGGGGGAGGGGGTCCTCCTCATCCTTCCTCCTCCTCCTCCGCCTCCTCCTCCTCCCCCTCCTCCTCCTCCTCCTCCTCCTCCTCCTCCTCCTCCTCCTCCTCCTCTCCTCTCTCTCCTCCTCCCTCCTCCTCCTCCTCCTCCTCCTCTCCTCCTCCTCCTCCTCCTCCTCCTCCTCCCCCTCCTTCTCGTCCTCCTCCTCTCCCCCTCCTCCTCCTCCCCCTCCTGCCCTGTGGCCGTGCTCGTGGAGAACGGGCCCCTCGGTGTGGGTTCTCCCGCGGGCGGCCACGGGGCGCACCCGGGCCGCGCGCGCGGGGGGGGGGGAGGCCCACGCCGTGCGCACGAGGGCGGCCCCCAGGCCAGCCACCAGGCGCCCTGCGGCAGCCACGGGCTGCCACCGGGAGAACCTGTTCCAGGGGGGGGGAGAGAACACACCGACGCCAGTCATCGTCGACTCCCAGGGGGTCCTCCTCCTCCGCCGCCTCCTCCTCCTCCTCCTTTCTCCTCCTCCTCCTGGTCCTCCTCCTCCTCCTCCTCCTCCTCCTCCTTCTCCTCCTCCTCCTTCCTCCTCTCCTCCTCCTCTTCCTCCTCCTCCAGCAGGGGGAGAGAACACACCCACACCAGTCATCGTCGACTCCCAGGGGGATAGTTACGGGAAAACATGGGAAGCGGGTGGGAAGACGAATACCCGAAAAGTACAGGAACAGACGGGACATCCCTGGGCCCTTGCAGTTACTTGGGAGAGCAAGCGAGATTTCCTCCATGCAGCATGCATGGCTCGGGGAAACAAACAAGTACGTGTAGATTTGCACACAAATGATGTTTCGGGTGAGCAGGGAATTTGAGCATTATATACGGGAGTTCTGGTTTGAGATGCTTTCGTTCACACGCGACAAATGCGAACGCCAGGATTGAGAGTATCGAGGACGGACAAGATGAACTCCCGAGCTCCTCAAATAGATTTGGTTTGATCGCCTTCTCGTCCCAGCATGGCGTCAGTAGGGCTTCAGATGGCTCCAAGGTTGCCCAAGAGGGCCCCCCAAAACCACCCAGAACGGCCCTGAAGGTCCCCAAGAGGCCCCTCCCAAGGGCCTCCAAGGCAGTCCAGCATGTCCCAAGAGAGCTCCAATGCCCCCCCCCCCCCAACAGAAATAAAGCAAACACGCCCCGAGACGGCGCAATCGGGCCAAAGAGTCCCCGCACGGGGCCCCAAGGGGGCCCCCCAGGACATGTTTTACCAGCCTCGAACGTATCCCTATCACTAAGATCGACACGCCAAAAGGCGATGACAATCTGAGGGATTCGCCCTCAAAAAATAAGTGAATCCCTAAGATCGGCATCGTGATGAGAAGATGCCCAGCATAGGGATAGGGATATGTTCCAGGCTGGTAAATGTTCAGTGAAAGAAAGTTTGCGGCCTTGGCAGCGTGGACGTTTCAGATTCATGTCCGCGGCCTTGGGACTGCGGATCCGGTGCATGCTCTGAAAGGTCGACGCCTCGGGGGCGCCGGACGATGGCTCACGCGATGCATCGTGCATGGCCTCGGGCTCGCGGGCCAGTGTGTTTTGTGTCGGTTCCGTGGGTCCGCTGCGTGTCGGGGGCGCAAGCCCCGCCGTTCTTCGCACGAGGTCTCGTGGCCGCGCTCTTGCGTGGGGTGTCGTGTGCCTCGGGATCGCGGCCGTGGCCTTCTGCTTCGAGGGCGCCCGTCCTCGGCATCGCGGGGCCCTTGTGCTCCTCAGGGCATCGGGCCCGCTGCGACCGCGGGTCTCGTGTGCTCGATCCGGGGCCGTGGCCTCCGGGCCGTGGCGCCTCGTGTGCTTCGCGAGGGGTCGTGGCTTTGGGAGCGCGGTTCGTTGTAGTACCGCGTGGCCCAGGACACCTCATGGGTCTCCTCCTCCTCCTCCTCCTCCTCCTCCTCCTCCTCATCTGTCTGGCTTGAAGGGTGGCCATGGGTGAAAGGCACGCCCAGGCTCGGCGCGCGTCGAGGAAACGACAGTGCCAGTAGTTTGGGAGCTGGACAGCTTTGTGCATCCGAGGACGGCTGACGGAGCTCAGAAGGAGCCATGACTGCAAGCGTTCTGGCTTGCATCAAGACGATTTGCATTGGCGCGTACTGCAGGGTTGCATCGATGATGAGGATCCCTGGCGTTTCGCGTATTCCCACCAGCCCTGGCGAAGTTCTTTGCGGGCCGCTGGCCATTGCTTCGCTGGCCGCCCGCCGCTCCTTGCGCGGGGTACCCGCTGTGGTGGCGCTCCGCACCCTCTTGCACGGCTTCGTCGTGCCGGTCATCCCCTTGCCTCCGGGTCTTGGCGCGCGGGGCGCCCTGACGGCTGGTCGCGCTGCTCGGCCGCTACCTCATTCCCTTCCTGGGGCACCGCTGGTCTTCTGCATCTACGCGAAGGGATACTTTCTGCGGCATTTGAAGTCTCTTCGTGACAGTCTACATCGCCCTGTCGGACGCACGGGCGGTCGTTCGGGGCGGCCGCTTTCTCTAGTCCTCTTCACAAAGGTGGTCTCTGCCCATGTGGAGCCTGGGTCTTCCGGTCTTCCTGCTCTTGTGCAAGGTGTTCGTGTTCGGCACGTTGGTTTTGGCTTACCTTTGTCACTCCCTTCCTGGGTAAGTGTGGCGTTCCCGTCACCATGCGCCGCCATCGTGGACACGGCCTTCCTCGGCACCTTCCTCACGTTCCTGGTGTCCCTCGGCGCCGTTGCACCGTTTTGCTCGTCTGAGCTCCGCTCTGTACCGGGCTTTGCTCGACGCTTCTTTTCCGCAGCCGGAGGCGTAGCCTGCCCTGGCTAGCCCGGCGTTCGACCCGTTCTGCGCGCCCGCGCAACCAAAAATACCCCCACCAGCCCACCAAGACCCGATGCCCATGAGAGTCGTCTTGAGGAGGGGCGCAGGTAAGCATATAGTGAAACAGGCATGCCAACAATGGTGAAGTTGTGAAACAGGCGTGCCACATGGTGGAGTTAGAGAGTCTGAGAAGCATTTGGGGGCCATCTTGGGGCCACTCGGGATGATTTTGGGGCTCCTTCGAGGCCCTATTTAGGGTGGCTCTCTCGGGCACCTCTGTTGGGATGGCCCCGAGCCGCCATGGATGCCATCGGTCCAGAAAAAAGGGCGGCGTCACTAGGGTCCACCCCCGTCGCAGGCCTAAGTGATTTGCTAGTTGGGCCCCCTCGGGGCGCTCTTGGGGCGCTCGTGGGGCCGTCTTGGGATTCTCTTGGGCCCCTCTCGGGGCTCCCTTGGGCCATGTCGGGGCCATCTTGAGGCTTTCGAGGCCCATCTGTGGCACAACGCTGAGAAGGTACAATCATTGGGTTTTCATCGCCTTTTGGTGGGAGGCGGGGTTCACTGGAGGCTCCAAGGGCACTTGAAGCTGTCATGGGGCCATTTTAGGGCCATATTGGGGCCTCTCGGAGGTATGTCGGGCGCTGCGCTACGTTGAACTATTTTCGATGCTTTTTGATCTAAGGATATATTTGAAACCGTCCTCGGGTTTCACGGGCCATCGTGGAACCATCTGGGGCCACTTCGGACGCTCTAACCCTTCGCGCCAGGGCTGTCCCTTCGCGCCAGGGCTGTCAAGACCCAGGGAGATGGTGGGTGGAGGGGCAACTTCCTTCCCGGACAAGGGAAAAAGGGGCTGCATCGGAGGAGGGAAGTAAAAGTTCGTTCTACCACCTCTGTGTCGAGAGGTGGTGGGATAAACTGCTGACTTGCGAAAAACCTCAGCCGCGCAGCATGGTGGCCCTTCCGGGGGGGCGACGGGTTATGACTTGTCGATGCGGCTCTTGTGACGTGTGCCAACGGAATCCAGGATATCATCTGCACGCACGGCAGGGGCATGAGTATTGTCGTGAGGTTAGGCTAGGCAAGGCAACGCCAAGCCGGAACGGTGAATTGTAAACCATGGCGGCACGAGTTGGGGCAAATTTGCCCCATTCTGACCGGAACAACTGAACCCTGGTTGCGCGAGCAATGCAGCATACTTTTACACAGGCAGTGTAAGGTAATCGCCTGATTACGAGGTAGTTCAAGCCAATGTACGATTCCAGGGAGGGCAGGTCAGTACGAGGCAGACAGAGCCGAGCAGGGCATCAAAAGCCAGGGCTAAGGCACGCAACGCAAGAAAGTTCAAAGGCAAAGTAGTGCCAAGACGGGAAATGGCAAGGCCACGTAGGGCGAGCAATGCGAGCGAGACGAAACAAGTGCAGGTGTGTCGTACGCAGGCGGCTTTTGCTCCGTCCAATGCCGATGAAATGTGCGTGTCAGTTCACGTCTTTCGGAGGAGGGCCAGTTGAGACAGCAACGGCTCGTCCGCTCGGCCCACGTCCGATCACAAATTGGTCTTGGGACCCCTCCTGGGGTCCATCCCGACCCGCTTCCGAGGCGGATCCAGCCGTTGCGGCGAGAAGCTTCCCTGGAGGCCAAACCGAAGGAGGAACGCCTGGAGGAGGAGGAGGAGGAGGAGGAGGAGGAGGAGGAGGAGGAGGAGGAGGAGGAGGAGGAGGAGGCTGCCGCTGCCTCGACGGGCCATCCTCCGATAATCATCGGGAGGGGGCAGACGCCCCAGTCTCGCCGAGGCCGTGATCTCGCTGTGCCTCTTCGTCATAAACTGCTTAGTCTGGAGGACGGGCCGTGGGCGGGCGGGCGACGGGTCAGGGCGGGGGGTCGCCGCCCGAGGCGCAGGGCGGCGCCAGGAGGGGGGGGCAGCGCTTGCAGTGAGCCGGGACCCTTAAGGATGTGTCATTGTCCGGGGGTGCCCCCCGGGTCCTTGGCTCTTGGCCTATCCTGACCCTCTCGTCGTGGGCCATTGGCTTCCAACTTCCGCGTCCATGTGTGCGTCCAAGGGCCTCGCGCCCTTACCGTCAACCCGCACGGTAAGGATGAGCCTCTCTCAAAGTTTACACCTGCGTCATCCCCTTCCGGGCCACCCTTGGCCGCTCTCGCTGGCTGCGCCACGCTCGCAGAGTGTCGACATATCCCTCCAGGGTCCTTGCTTCCTTATCGCGCGTCCTTGTGTGTGATCTGGTCGCGCTGAGAGCCCCCCCCCACACACAGAGAAGCAGGGCTCGGCGGCCCAGCTCTGAGCCCAGGCTCTGGGGCTCGGGGGAGCGCGCGGGCCAACGGACCCGCCAGCCCTGGGCCCACACCCGGGATGTAGGGCGTGGTGGGCGGGGCATCTCCCGCGGGAGGAGGAGGAGGAGGAGGAGGAGGAGGAGGAGGAGGAGGAGGAGGAGGAGGAGGAGGAGGAGAGACGAGTGCGGTGATACAGTTCACCGCGGGGCCCGAGCTCGACCGGCGCGTGGTCTGGGGCGGGGTCGGGAGGGGGGCATGCGCCCGCTTGTCCTGGGCCCACCTCCAGGACGCAAGGGCGTGGGGGGCGCGCGTGTGCCAGGGGGAGGACCGAGATAGAGACTGAGGTCAGGGTCTGCATCGCCGTAGTTGTCGTCGTCGTCGTCTTTGCCGTCGTCGTCGTCGAGGTCGTCGTCGTCGTCGAGTTTGTGGCCGAGGTCGGGGTCGAGGTCGTCATCGTCGTCGTCTTCGTCTAGGTCGCAAGGGGATGAGCAGCGGCAGGACGAGGAGGAGGGGGAGGAAGACGAGGGCCGCCTCACGTGATATCTTGCCCGTCCAGTCCACCAGCACATCGCAGTGAGCTCCACGTTGGCATGCCAGCCTGGGGGTGTCAAGATGCCAGGCTGGTCGCACGTTTTGATTGTCCTGGACGCGAGCCCATGGTCGACGACATGGATGCAGAACGAGTCAGCGGTAATCAAGATGCATCGGCGTAAATCTATCGGATGTTCAGCAGGGCTTGTAGGAGGAGCATGGTCGAGGACGCAAGCAAGGATCGCTGCATTGCTGCAGCGGGAAGATCTGAAGCGGCCGCGTTACGTAAAGGAGGCGGTACTCTGAGAATTGAGCGAACGAGGTAGCGAATTCAATGTAGTGGCCCTCGGCCCATCCCGCCACCTTGCCTGGGTTGTTGGTCAGGGTGTCGTGGGATGCCGCCCAGGGGTTCTTGAGAGGCCTCTCGGCAGCCTCTTCGGGGCCCGTTGCGCGCTTCTCGGGGGCCATCCTTGCACAAGAGGGCTTGTGGGGCCAGTTCGGGCCTCTGGGTAGAAAGCATCGAAGACTTGGTTTGGGTACATCATTCGAGCTGTTCGCTAAAAAGTTGCGCGGGACGTTCCAGGAGGTTTGGCTTTTGGGGGTCCGGGCCCCTGACGAGCAGTACAGTACTCATTGCAAATGCGCAAGGGATCTGAGCATTGCCCACGCAGTGCCTACGACACGTCGGTGGATAAACGTTTGATCTATGTGGGATCTGTGCCTTCGAGAGCCCGCGCAACCGAAAAGAAGAAACAGGGCGGCGTGCGGAAAGGAGAGGTGTTCGTGGAGGAGTTGCATCTCTGATGGATGGTGGAAGACGACGGGCACTGTTGCGAGTATCGTGGTCGAATGCTGGAGTGGAGGCCGCCATGGGACCCTAGAGAGCCGTGGTTTCACAAGAGCCGGACGTACGTGGAGACGGTCACTAAGGCTGCCTTGCCCGCCCAAACGCCTTCCCCCTTTGCCCTCCACTTCCCCTATGGCGCTGCAAAGTGGGAAGGCGGACCCCTCCTCCTCCTCCAGTAGTGGGCAGGCCAAGAGGCCTGAGCTACGCGGCCATTGTGTCGGTCCCAGGGCGTTCTGCTATCCTGAAGGTGGAGATGGGCCCCGATAGGTGTCTGATTCGATCCTCCTCCTCCTCCTCCGCCTCCTCCTCGTCCTCCTCCTGTCCTCCCCCTCCTCCTCCTCCTCCTCCTCCTCATCATCATCCACCTAGGGTACCCGAACTCCTCCTCCTCCTCCTCCTCCTCATCCTCCTCCTCCTCCTCCTCCTCCGCTTCCTTCCGAGCCAGCACCCTCCCCGATCACAAGCAGGATGAGGCCAATCTCATCGCCTCTCCTCCCCACTCCTGCCTGCGTGCTTTTCCGCCTTCCGGCCTCTCTCTCTCTCTCTCTCTCTCTCCTCCTCCTCCTTCTCCTCCTCCTGCTCCTGCTCCTGCTCCTGCTCCTCCTCCTCCTCCTCCTCCTCCTCCTCCTCCTCCTCCTCCTACTACTCTTCCTCCTCCTCCTCTTCCTCGTCCTCCTCCTCCTCCTTATCATCCTCCTCCTCCCTCTCATTCTCCTCCGCTCTCGCGCCCTCCTCCTCTCTCCATGCCCTCGTTCCTTCCCTCCTCAGGGGTTGCCACAGGTGCCCCTGGGCCACCTTGGAGCCCCTGGGGCCCTCTCGGCTTCGTGAGGGGGTGCTCTGGAGTCCGTAGGGACCTCGTTGGAAATCCTGGGGGTGCCTTGGGCTACGGTAGAGGGAAAGAATTACTGAACACTCCCCCTCCCCCCCAACCTCAACGTTGGCACGCGCGGGGGAAACTGCGGTCGAAGTGCATCTCATCAGACCCACCGCCAACTTTGAACATTGGGGGGAGGGGGAGCCGTTGACAGATGAATGTGGCATCATGAGTGTTCGCTACTTTGTTCCGAGGCCTGTATGGGCACTCCTGGCAACACCCGATCTCCCTTCCCGCTCTGGGGGGGGGGCCTCCTCCCTCCCACACAGCCCTCGCCGCGGTGCGGAAGACGGTCTGCCTGGGCGCCCCTGCACCATTTGAGGGGGCCGTGACGGGTGGCAATCTGGCGATTCTTTGCGAGAGGAGATTCGCGCATGTGATCCCCTGACTTCTCGCAAATCGCCCCATCACTGAGGAGCGCACGTTTGTTGGACCATGCAGGAGCAGTGGGCAAACGTGAGCAGTTTCGGGCGCTGGCTCATAAGGGGGAAGTCAATGGGCGGCACTGAAACATGCACCGCTCCACCACTTGTTGTTTGCCCGCGGTTGCAGTTGAGCGATCGTTTCTTCCCTTTTGAAGCCACTTCCTCGCGATCCTCGATCTCCGCCCCTGTTTGTTGCCCCTTCCCCCCTTTCCCGCACGCTGCCGAGCGCTCAACAATTGATACCTGCCGGCACGGTCTGACGCACACTCGGTCAGGCGTTGCCGTCCTCCTCGCCCCCGCGCTCGGCACAGCGCGTTCCTGTGCTGCTGGCCCGCCTTCCCTGTGGCGAGGGGCGAAAGGCGCGAGCGCGCGTGCCTCGCCCTGGCGTGATGTGCTCTGCACGTTCGGGGTCGTTCGAGTGCCCTCGGCGTCGCTCGGACGTGGGCGAGAGCCGTCGTGGAGCATCTTGGACCACCCTGCGAGCACAAACGCACACGAAGCCGAAAAACGTGCACGCGAAATGGACGTCCGAGCGGTGGCACGGTGCCGTGTGAGCTTCTCTCGTTGGGGTTATGTGTGAGCTTCTCTCGTTGGGTTTTTTTTTTTTTGTTTTTTTTTTTTTTGCAATCCTTTGCAATCCTTTTTTTTGCAATCCTTCGGTGTTTTTTTTTTTTTGCAATCCTTCGGCCACAGCCAACATGGCGAACGAAGGAACAGCCCGCGTTCGAAGGTGCGTTTGGGGCCCAAAGGGCGCTTCGTTCATCAGTCAGCGTTCTTTGTGGTGGTCGCTGGACCTATGGCAGTATGCCGTTTCGCCGCTTCTCCTTTTCTTGGCAGCCCCCCCCCCCAGGTGGCGAAATCTGCTTCGTGCGGCTGGGCCATGTACAACCTCGGCCTGTTCTACCACCAGGCAGCCCCTTGACCAGACCGGCTGCTATTCGAATGGTAGACCGCTTCCCGCGGGCTTCGGCTTGGGCTTCTAGGGAGGTTGTCGGAGGTCCGGCGCAACGCATGGCACCGTATTGTTTGCCCGCATCATGCGCGCAGCAATGTATTATGTCCCTTCATTATACTCGCATTTCAGGTCCGCCGTGTAGCTATTCCGGGTTCAAGGGCAGTCAGGAAGCGTGCTTTCATTGGACAGGTGTGAGGAACGGGGGCCGTCAGGAGAGGGCATGTGTGGATCGCTTGGAGCGTAGCTATTCACAGGTGCTTGTGCATCTGCATCGCGCCTTATTGTGACATCATGCGAGACCGTTGTCCGTGATTGGTCACGCGTGGCGCGCATGCACAGCGACCATTCTTTCATCCATTCTTTCATGTGAGCTTTGTTGCACAGTCTTGATGTGTTTTCTGACTGCGTGTATCTCGTCGTGCTGCCTCAGCACAGCCGGGGCGTTGACCCAAGGAATCCTAGACAAGGAACGACGCCCCTTTTTTCAGAAGTTCACCTTCGACTCGCCACCAAAAACTTGAGGAACACATTGGGCAGGGTGTGGAGCAATTCAGGAACACCGAGCCCCTCTCCAGCGAAAAGGGTTCCTTCTTCGGTGCCCCGACGGTACGGTTGCCCCGACCCTGACGTCGTGGCCCTCGCCGCTGGCCTCTCCCCGTGCTGGCCGGGTTTCGCCCACCCCCCAGCAGCGTTTTTGGCCACTCCAGATTTCTTAATAAATAAAGGGAGGGGGATCTCATTTCGGGGGGGGTCTCTTCCAGGCGATCTTGGAGGGCCTGGGGGGTCTGGGGACGATGTTTTGGAGGGTTCTCTCTGAAGTGGCCTGTCTTGGAGGGTCCAGACCCCCCCTCCCTTTTATTCCGAAATCTGGAGTAGCTCAGGTGCACCCCAGACTGGTCTCCATCCGCCCCGTCCTGAAGTTTATGAGCATCAAGGGCGTCATCTTCTTCACGTTTTGGCGCGCGCTGGGCTTGACCACGGGCTCACAGCAAGGGGAGGAAGAGGCAGGCCAGGATTTAGGCGGCAAGGGGGGGGGGCGAGGGAGCCGAGCGGGAGCAACCAGAGGGGGAGTGGGACAAGTTGGGCGCGCTCGTTCAATCTCTGGCTGCCTACCCCGCCCACCCATCCGTTCCCATAGGTCTGGTCCCCCCTATTCGCTGACGGCTGTCATAGCGGAGCTGGAACCCCCCAACTGACCCCATCGAGTGATGCGCAGTCAAAGGGGGGACCTGCATACATTTGAGGAGGTGGAGGTGGCGGATGAGCAGGATGATGGGCGGGAAGAGGAGGAGGACTAGGAGGAGGAGGTGGAGGTAGAGGAGGAGGAGGAGGAGGAGGAGGAGGAGGAGGAGGAGGAGTAGGAGGAGGAGGAGGAGGAGGAGGTAGAGGAACGGGAGGAGGAGGAGGTGGAGGTAGAGGAAGAGGAGGAGGAGGAGGAGGAGGAGGAGGAGGAGGAGGAGGAGGAACGGCAGCGACTGGGCAGGAGCAGCACGAGCGGGATGAGCAGGAGGACCGGGGGAGGGCGGGGGGAGACAGCGGGGGGAGCCAGCGGCGAGGAGAAGCACTCGGATCTAGACATGTGTGGCCCACGCCGGGGCGACAGCGCCGCACTCTGCACGACGGGAGCGACGCGCGCCGAGCATGAAAGGAGGCCAGCGCTGCAGCGGGAACATTTTCTGACGGGGCCCCGGAAGCGGCAGGGCCGTTTTCTCACCGTTTCCGAAAAAGTGTCCCTTGAAAATGGAAACGGTAAGAAAACGGCGACCGGAAACGGCACAAAAACGGCTCCAGGATTGGAACCGGAGCATGAACCGGTCAAACAACGGCGACGGAACCGGTAAAACAACGGCGTCGGAACCGGTAACAAAAACGGCAGAACGGAACCGGTAATAAAACGGCCTTGTCGTTTCCAGGGCTCTTTTAAGACCAGACGCGCCGAACTTCGGCCAGCGTTGAAACGGGAACACAGTTCTGGGAGACCGACGCGACTGGACTGGACAGCAGTGTCTAACACACCGGTTGCTAGCATCCTGCAAAGAACAAGCAGCACGCGACGAGGGCGCGACCGGGGACCGAGGAGAGTATAATTCTGCATGGGCTACTGCAGAGGAGGTGGGAAAGAGGAAGAAGCAGGACGAGGATGAGATGGAGGAGGGTTTGGAGGAGTTCGAGGGTGAGGATGAGCAGACAAGGACGAAAACGGGAAGATGAGGCGGGGAATGCTCGGAAGCAGTGGGGGGCCCAGGATGTTCGCAACACATTGTGGCAGATGTCTGGTGTTGGACTCCCGTGGGCCAGCTTGGGGCTGAATTTGTTAAGTAGGATATATGTAGCGATATAAAGTTGTTTATTCCATCATACGGAATCGAACACACAACCAACACAAAGCAGCCAAAGACTGAGGATTTACCAACAATCAGTAACACAATCATGCAGGAGACAGCATGTCATCTTGTACGTACTCCATCCGATGGTGGTGGGCGGGGTGGGGACGGTGGTCAGTTTTTTGCTGTGTTTGTTGCGTGCCACCTTTGCTTGTCATGTTGCTCGTTTGGTCTACCCAGGTTGAGTTGTTTGGTTGTTTTGTTTCAAATGGCCTTCTAGCTTTTCAGCCCCCGCCGCCCCGTTCTCGGTGACCCTCAAGACTTGTCCTAGAATCCTTTAGCAAATCATCCCTCTGGACTCCTTCACCAGTCCAGCAGCAATCCCCCAGGAGCCTGTCTGTACGCCACCGCGAGAAGAACAGCACAGCCAGAGAGAAAGGGAGAGAGAAAAAGAGAGAGAGAGAGAGAACAAACAGAGAAGAGATATCGCGAGAGAGAGAGGGAGCGAAACAAGGGGATATAGTGGATTTTCTTCCGAATTAGCCCAGGGGGTGGTCCATGGGAGTCCGAACGGCCTGCCAAATGCTGAACCGATATCCTATGAGGCGTGGTGAAGCCCACATCTCATACCTATACGATCACCCTTCCGGTGACAAGGAGGTTGTGCGGCCGGGGGGGGTCAGCTTTCGGTGCGCGGCCGGGGTCGGGTCGGACTCGGCGGGAGCCAGTCGGGCACCATGGAGCACCACCGATGGCGTCCCGATGGCGTCCTTGATAACAGTCGCGAGTCATCGGGACAATCAACGGAAGCAGGTGGCCATACGGGGCAGCATGCTTGTCCATCTATTGATGGATCTTGGCAGCCAACTGGAATCACTGGTGCAACCAGCATGGATAGGTGGCATTGGTGTTCCTTGTCCATGTGTCTTGATGGCAGACTACGAACGTGCAAAGCAATCGGTTTCTTCAACTACCTGTTTATCGGGGTATCCATTTCGAACATTTCGGGACGACCAGCGGAATCAGGTTGCGTGTACTGGCCCGCGCGCTCACTCCTCCAGAGGAACACAATAACGCTTATAAGACTACGGGACACCCTGTGACACCACGGGAGATTGCGGGACACTTATATCGATCGTTGTACCGATCTCGCGATCGATCGGTCGCAATACCGATCCTTTTATCAATTTCACAATCGAGATCCCTCCAACTGCAGCTCCCACTAATGAATCGATCTGGCGAACGACCCTATTATGGACAGCACCGTCGATAAATGTATCGATATGTTTATCGGACTTGTCCTTCTATCCATAAGAGGATTGCATTATCGATGCAACACTCGGCGTACCGCCGATTTCAAAATCGATCTCACACTCAGCATCTCGGTTTCGATATACGACCCACCTCTCGCTACGAGACACCATAGCACCCGGGAAACCAACGGAACCAGGTGGCATTTAGTTGCCCGCGTGATCTTTCCTTTAGGAGAACATCCGTTGAGCATGCAAGATCACGGGACGCCGCGATCGAAATCACTATCTGCCAGCATGTCCCCTCAAGCTTCTCAATTATCGACATCATTCTCGGGTTCACGGTTGGCCCCACTAGTTTTTTTTGGTCGTAAATGTATCCATCGATCCCAGGATCGACAGGCCATTTTGTGGCGTGCCAGATGGTGGAACGCCCTCATGGCAATGCGATGATGGCGATGACATTGCAGTCGGGGCCCTGAAGAAGGAACCCTTTTCGTTGGGGAGGGGCTCGGTGTTCCTTGATTGTTCTGCAGTTTGCCTTCTGTTTTCCTGAAGTTTTCCATGGGAAATCGAAGCTCAACTTATGGGAGGAAGGGGCCCCGTTCCTTATTTAGGGTTCCTTAGGTCAACGCCCCGACTGTAGTGGTGATGGGGATGATGGCCGTGGTGATGCTGATTGTGATGGTACTGGCGACGATGGCTATGCTGCCGTTCGTGGAGAATCTCGCGGGAGACGCGCGCGAGATCCATTCTCACAGAGAGTGTGGGCGTTGCGGCCGGGGGTGCGCTGACAGAGCCTGGCGCCACAACTCGTCAGTCGTTGCTACATGCTGCCGTCGAGAGATAAAACGACGCGAAGATCGGGACAAAATCGGATCGGGATAACTCGAAATCTCTGAGAATCGGCGGGTTTGGAGGATGTATTGGGCGCCGCGGCCGCTCCAGAGCGTTCCGGAACGCTCTGAGAGCGTTCAGGAACGCTCTGGAGCGATTTATCCCGATCCTGGCCATGTTTTAATGCTGCCGTCGAGAGAAGCCAGCGCCTCCCCAGGCGGCAGCGGTGAGAGAGGCTCCGAGGCCAGGCGCCTGATTTTGTTGGCTGTTGCGCTGTTCCGACCAGGCGGCCGCCATCTGGATCACGTGCTGGTTTCAGAGGCGGAATCTCGGGTCAGGAAGCGTCGGCGCCCATCGTCGGGACTGCTTTCCAGTCCGCCGCAAGACTGCGCGTCAGCGTTACGACTTCGTCCTTGAACGGTGACTCGGCAACGTGCTCAATCGTGGCGTGCTCAACGGCCCCAGCGGCGGTGGCAGAGCTTGGCCCTCGTGCCGGGCACACGACAGCGGAAAGGGGAGTGAAATCGCACTAACCCACCAAGGTTTGCATGCGCAATCGGGTCGCCGAGGACGCAGACGGCCGTCGACGAGACCTTGAAGACCTGCTCTGGTCGCCGTTTTTTCGTCGCAGGTGGGGCCCATGTTGGTCACATCCGTGCCGCACACCAGCATCAACAGCCGGTGTGCGCCGATGGTCGCGTCGTCATCGCGGTGAACCGCGAAACCCACAAGAGGGCCTTCGATAATGCGACCCGGTGGCACCCGCAGCGCGACCTCGCTGGTCACCACTGAAAGACCACGGCACGCACGCGTAGCCGCCATGGAAAGCACCGCGTCCAGAGGCTCGGGGTCCAGCACCCGCCAGAGAAATATTTACACTGACGGCCTCCACTTGATTGTGCCTGGGCCTCAGGGGAGCGTGGCAGAGCGTCAAATCACCATTGGGAGCCAGCGATTTCATACACCGCCACCCTCCCTGAAGGTACACGCAAGTTTCGTCGGAGGGCCTCAGTGTGTGTGTGTGTTTGCATATATATATATATAGAGATATCGTGGCGCACAACAAAACGATGCAACACATGGCTGTCCCACCGTCGTTCCGAATAATGCCGCGAGCAATGAACCGCGCGGGGGCGCCTGTGAGAGACGGCGCGAAGCTGCGTTTGCACATGATTTGCAGTGGTACAACTGTGAACGGCTGTCGGATAGGCTTGTGTTTCTCACCCGTCGACGTCCACAGCCCGCTGGCCATCCAGAAGGCGGCATGCGCTCTTGGGAGAGGCGGCCGTCCTGCGTGCGCGCGAAATGTCCTCCTGCAGCGGCGTGCCCAAGATGCAGCGATCGTTTTGCAAAGTGATGGGGCCGGTTTGTCGGGGCATCGGTCAATGCCGCGGCGCGCGTGGGGCGCGCCTCAGCGGGGCCCCGTCAAATTTTGACCCGGCGTGGCGTTCGATGGAAAGCACCGCGACGCGCGCGCCGTCAGTGCTCGGGTTCGTCTGAGTCGGAGCTTGTTTCCCGGAGGGCAGACGCGCGCCCCCAGTGAGATA